GGAGGCGGTGAGGCTAGGGCTATTGCTCTCGACATATCTAAAGCTTTCGACAAAGTTTGGCATGCTGGTCTTCTCCATAAGCTTTATATGGTGTTTCTGGGAAAGTTTTTGAGATTATCAAATCATTTCTTTCTAACCGGTTTATTAAAGTCATCCTTGAAGGCCAACACTCTTTTTTATTTCCAGTAACTTCTGGGGTTACCCAAGGTTCCATCCTGGGCACTGTTTTGTTTCTTATCTACTCAAACGATCTTCCTGACAACCTTTCATCTAAAGTAGCTCTTTTTGCTGATGACTCAACTTTATACTCCTGTCTTGACAAAAAGTCTTCTCTTTTCGATCGCCTAGAACAAGCAGCTGATCTTAAATCTGATCTCACTTCAGTAATAGATTGGGGTTCACAGTAGCTTGTGAACTTCAACTCTAAAAAAACCCAATTGCATACTGCAAACAACTACCGTAATATAGTCAACATTCCTAAATTAATGAATGGCAATCCTCTTACTGAGTTGTCCTCTTTACGTCTTCTTGGATTATCGCTTACTACTGACCTTTCATGGAAACCATATATACAATCGATTGCTAAATTAGCTTCTGCTAAGGTTGCTTCTCTTTATCGTGCTCGCCATTTCCTTACTTCTGATTCCATTCTCTACCTCTACAAATTTCTTATTCGTCCCTGTATGGAATACTGTTGTCATATTTGGGCTTGTTCTTCTAACGATTCACTTTCTCTTCTTGACAAGGTCCAAAAACGCATTGTAAATGTTGTTGGACCTGGACTATCTGCTAAGCTTTAACCTCTTTCCCATCGTCGTAAAGTTGCATCTCTTTCTCTTTTCTACAGATACTATCATGGTCACTGCTCAAAGGAGTTATCATCTCTAGTTCCATCAACTAAAATTCATTCTCGTTTTACTCGTCATTCAGCTAAGTCTCACTCGTTTACTGTATCTGTCCCTGCATGCTCTAAAAACTTTTATTCATCTAGTTTTTTTCCCCGCACTTCAATCCTTTGGAACTCTCTCCCATCTTCATGTTTTCCTGACTCATACAACCTTTAACGTTTCAAGTCTTCTGTCAACCGTTTCCTTGCTCTATAACTCTGTTCTTTTTTTTTCCTAGTAACTCCCATCTTAATAGTGGTTGCTTGCAGCCTTGTTGGGAGTGAATGCAAATAAAAAATAATAAAAAAAAAAAATTTATAGTAGATTTTTTATTTGTTTCTTCACGGCAAGAAAGATACAATCAAAAAAATCTGCTATAATCAAAAATTAATAAACAAAATATTTTCAAAAATATTAATAATAATAATAATAATATAAAACTTCTAAAGTTTTAAAGTTTAGATAATTGTATAAAAAATATATGATTAGATGCAATTATCTACTAGTGGATAATTTTATATAATCATATATTTTTCAGAATCAACTTGGAATATGATTTGATGTATTCTTTTACAGAGGACCATCTATCGCTGGTACCAAAGTGGGGAAGATCATCCACCCATTAGATGGAGGGATGGAACCCTATACAGTACCAAAGAAAGAGAGTTTGTTTGTAGGAGAAGAAGAAGCCGGGTGACTTCAAAGTCATTTTTTTCTTTAAATTATAAATCTTTTAATTTGTGATTTTTATAATTTTATATAATCATATATTTTTCAGAATCAACTTGGAATATGATTTGATGTACTCTTTTACAGAGGACCATCTATCGCTGTTACCTAAGTGGAGAAGATAATCCACCCATTAGATGGAGGGATGGAACCCTATACAGTACCAAAGAAAGAGAGTTTGCTTTTAGGAAAAAAAGAAGCCGGGTGACTTAAAAGTCATTTTTTTCTTTAAATTATAACTCTTTTAATTTGTGTTTTTTTCTTTGTTAATATTAATAATGTTTTAGAAAGTTATACAGTACCAAAGAAAGAGAATTTGCTTGTAGGAGAAGAAGAAGCCTGGTGACTCAAAAGTCATTTTTTTCTTTAAACTGTAAATCTTTTACTTTGTGTTTTTTTTCGTTAATATTAATAATGTTTTTGAAAATTAATCAAAATGAAATGGAGGGATGGAACCCTATACAGTACCAAAGAAAGAGAGTTTGCTGGTAGGAGAAGAAGAAGCCGGGTGACTCAAAAGTCATTTTTTTCTTTAAATTGTAAATGTTTTAATTTGTGTTTTTTTTGTTAATATTAATAATGTTTTTGAAAATTATACAGTACCAAAGAAAGAGAGTTTGCTTGTAGAGGAAGAAGAAGCCGGGTGACTCAAAAGTCATTTTTTTCTTTAAAATGTAAATGTTTTAATTTGTGTTTTTTTTTTGTTAATATTAATAATATTAATAGTTATGGAAAAACATTTAAAAGTTAATCAAAAAGTAATGAAATTTTGTTCATTAGTTTTTGTATAACTTTTAAATGTTTTTCTATAACTTTAATGCTTTCAACTTAAATCGTTTAAATAAGAAGCTTTTATTAACGATCCTGAGTGACAATAACAAAAG